TAAATATAACAGCATATTTAAAACAACATACATCTATACATATACATCAAACGTACGTGGGCAGAGCAGCAAGGAAGTTATGGAACGCAGAAGAGATGAAAAATCGAAGAAATAAAGAATCACGTGCCATTCTCTCTCAAAAATGACTTTGCACAACATTGTTTCGTCGGCAGGGATATACCGAAATAATAACAGACAAATAAGAAAGTTTCGTCAGACAATGTAAATCCACCACGGAGCGCGTTGCCCGGGAGTGTTCATCTGTAATGACGTTATTCTGTTCTCCAGGGTGAAGAACAGCGGCTCTCTCCACCGCACTTTCAACGTGGATCCGATTTACCTCCAGCACGAGAACTCAGGTGAATAGCTTCGTTCTTTGGTATGGCTGTCGTTCGTCCTCGTCTTGTTCTTGTCTTGTTCTCGTCTTGTTCTTCCCGACGGCTTTGGAGGATTCGCGATCTCGAATTTTGCCAATCGTGTTTGATTTGGTTGTAATGATTTATTTCATGGTATTTTTTTTATTAGCCTTTTGATGATATTCCATTTTTTTTCATATATATTTTTTCCTTTTTCTTTTTTTTCTCTGATTTCTTACGCTCTGTATTCTTGTTCTTATCCTTTGCAATTTTCTTGTATTTCCCTTTGTTCAACGGCATTTTCTGTTCCCTTTGTTTTCGTCTTCTGGCCGCTCTCTTTGTTTCCCATTGTCATGTCTTTCTTGTCTCCCGCGTTCGTTATTTTTTATTTATTTACATGATACATATCATGAGTTCTTGCTTATTTATTTATGAATTTATAAGTGTGATTACTTATTTGTTTGTTTATATGTTTACCTATTTACTCTTTTTTGGCCGAGGCGAAGATGTACTAGATTATTTGATAATGACTGATGACAGGTTGATAAGCTAATGATGATAATTTTAAAATGATTTGAAAGACAGCTTAGTGTCAAGGGTGTCTTACATCCGAAGAGCATCTTCGTTTAGATTTAAGATATAAGATAAAAGGATAAAAGAAAAGAAAAGAAAGAAAAACATGTAAAATGACTATTACTGTTTATCAATTTACTCTTTAGCTTTGTATATTTTCCCCCTCGCTGTTCTAGTCTTGACTAATTTCAGTCGGTAGAGGGCATCTTTTATATACAATAATTAATTATTTTTCCTTCCGTTTAGGTCTTGCAATCGACTACATGGTAAGTTATAATATAAAAAAAAAAAAAATAGACAACAACCACTTAGCTAGACATCAGGAGACACGCACGCTTCTCACTTTTTCAGCCTTCCGAAACTGCTTTGTTGCCTGTGCTTAGTGTGTATCCGGCACATGTACCTGCCGTAAACCCACCAAGAAGTAATGTTTTATAATTCACCCACGCAGTCAATGCACGCACCCCCTACCCGCCTTACACTAATTCCCTTCCCTGTTATATATACAAACATACTTACTTACGTTCGTACATATATTCATACATACACACTCATACAAATATATATACTTATGCTCACAATTACGCCCCCCCCCCCCGCCCACACACACGCAGTTATTTGTGTGCGCTTGTGATTATATGTGCAAACAAACCATCACACACGCACATATGTATGCTCATGATTATACGAAATCTTACTACTGATATCTATAAGCTTACCTATACAGATAAGATTGTATATTTTTTTTCGTTTTCATCAAACTCAAAGAATTTTGAAAATAATAATCACCTATTGCTCCGACATATTATGTATTTCGTCCCCACACTAATTACGTTAACAATTTCACACCAAAAAATGAAGTTGTACATGACTATAATTACCAGTTTTATGTTTTATCCTTTCTGACTGTAGCCTCAATTTTCCAGCACTGGCAAATCGGTCTGAGCAAAAGGTTTCGTGCTCTCAAGCTGTGGTTTGTTATCAGGAGCTTCGGTGTCGCTGGTCTTCAGAAACACATACGAGAGGTGAGTCATTCGGAAACGGCAAAGAAATGTCCATAAGATAGCGATAGACACAATAGGAAAACACTGCAGGGGGCCCTTTTGGTATACTGTTTACTAGTGCTCCGGAAAAAAAACAATGTAGCAGGAAAAGGCCTTCGTTATATTAGTGTGTTTTCACGTTCTTCCCTTCCCTGCTTCGTTTACAACTTCCACATACCAATGAATTTGGTAATCTCGCATTTCATTAATTTTCAAAGCATCATCTCATCTACATTGGCACTTTTCATTTCCACTTCTTCCATGTTCTAGTTTTCTTTAACACGGAACACCTACCATTATCTTTGGTGTAAATATGTCATTCTGCTTGTACATTATAACAGGCAGGTATTTCAAAACAGCTTTTCTTTCCAGGGCGTGAGAATGGCGCAGAAGTTCGAGGTGTTCGTGAAGAGCGACCCGCGGTTCGAAGTTCCGACGCCGCGATACCTGGGAATGGTCGTGTTTCGGCTGAAGGGCGAGAATGAACTCACAGAAAAGTTGCTGAAAAAGATAAACTCTTCTGGAAAGCTCCATTGTGTGCCAGCGTCTCTCAAGGGGAAGTATGTTATTAGGTGAGTAAAAGTCATTTCGCGACGGGATGCTTCTTAATTGGTGAGTATTTTTCTTGCATTTTGTAAGATGACTCAGTGACTTGTTTCAAGTTGTGCGGCTAAACTGTATTTGAAAGATTTAACTTCATTTTTTTTTTTTTGCTTCTTTTTACCTGTCTCTTTTGCTTTCTCATACACTATCTTTATTCAATTTGCCTTGAATTATCGTGATTTTTTTTTTTCATTTACCCATTTCTTTAACCCCGCTGTTTTCTCATATACTAACCTAATTTCCATTGTCTTCAAGGTTCACGGTGACGTCGACCTACACCACCGTCGAGGACCTCTCCCGCGACTGGGCCATCATCCGCGCCACGGCCTCCGAGGTCCTCAGCAAGACGCCCGCAGAAGAACACAAGACGCGCGTGTTCCTAAAAGGTAAACTGCGACCCCGGTTGCATGCGCGGGGTGACTGACGAGGAACTTATCGGGTCTCTGGTTTTGTTTGGGTTTTTATCCCATAATGCTTTTTTGGTTTGTTATGATTTGGGTTTCTGTACTCTGATTGTCATTTTTATATGTTTTTTATTTAATTTGCTAATAAATTTGCATATATTAATAATGTCACTTAGGAGATGCACGGGTTTATCCTTGCCTTTACTAAGGCGCTGTTTTTTTAATGTAGACGAAATTATTTACTATTGTGTATACTAACGTTGTTTATGTCACATATTCACTCAGCATTATACATTCACATTGAAGCGTAACAAACAGTGATATGTCTCCACCACAGAAAACCTTCGCGGTTTCACTCCAAAATTCAATTATTAAGCTAATTTCCTTGCAGTTAAGCACATCCGAAGCGAAAGACGGAAAGCCCCTTTGAGTGACAAAACCTCGACGTTCCATCACATTAATTTCAAGTTGTTTCGCAATCACGTGATATTATTACAGTGGGCTGCACTGATTTGGGTAAACAAGATTACAAATTTGCGTTCCCTCCACTTGCCTCCTTGGTATTTAGACGGGTATTTTCAACGCAGTATAAGAAGTCTATCACTTTATAACCCTCATGTATGCAGCCGTCTTGCTACATGTATGAAAACAATGTACATACATCCATAGTAATTTAATATTGACAATGGATGCATGTATTACTGATATCAATCGCCACCGCCACTCCATAACTACCCCATTGTTCCTTTCCCCCGAATAGTGAAAAATTATCTCGACTTCAGCGTATAAATACATTCCTGCGATCGCGCATATTATAGTACATTTCTCCTCAGCGTCTAAGGTTAAACCATTTACCGACCCCCCCCCCTTTTTTTATCCCCTTACCTAATTTGTTTTTTAATTTTTTTGTTCACTTTTCCTCCTTTTACGTTTCAGCAAATCCTATGCAAGATCGCATAGAAGATAGTGAGGATTTCCTTGGTCTCGAAACACTGTCGGCTTACCTTCATGGGAAAGAGTGCCGTTAGTCATTCAAAAGGATAGTGCCGCAGATGTCAGAGCTACCTTTACCACCATACATAGCGCTAGATTTTCCCTGTCGAAGTCTATCAGTATAAAGGGATTCCTGCAAACGGATGAACAGAACACAAGGATATAAATACATAAGGTTCACGGAATTATATAGAGAGAAACAGAAACATTTAAATTCATCATCATCTATGGAAAGGCAGAAGTTGAAGTTAATAATTCAACCGCGGAGAGATATTTGACAATAACAATACCGTTTCTGTCAAGTATCCATTTAACTGCCCCCGTCTGTCGACTGTCAGTTCAACTGAAGCACGCGAGAACTGGTGCTCTCTAGAACAACGTCTGGAAAGGAAGACCCATCGGGCTTGGAGATTGAAGGAAGCCCGTAATCGCCCCAAAATTGGACCTCACTGATCTGGTGGTGCTGTTTTCTGAACGATATCGGCCGGTTACAACGACGCAGTTTCGGCACACAAACGCATGTGTTTTCTCTTTTTACCTGAAAATACGAAGCAAATCAAAACTGAACAGGTATATGATAAATTCTCTGAAGGTGTCCATAACCTCGTCCATAAAGAGACTACGCTGCGACCTTTATTAAGATATGAATGTTTTCGATTAAACTAGCATATTACTTTCAGGCGATTATGTAAAGAATGCTGGAGTTCATGAGGTATTTCCAGGACATGTTAGTCGGACGGAAGTCAAATCCAGTGGAGATTAACAGGAAAAAAAATAATTGCATGAATACTGAGCATCTAAGAGCCATGCAGAATCTCCCAGGAACTTGCAGCTTGTTGAAAGGCTAATCAGCGTTCTTTAAAGATACTCCTTAACCGGCATCAGGTGGAAGAGAAAGAACGACAAGCGCAGAAGTACCAGGATATATATATATATATATATATATATATATATATATATATATATATATATATATATATATTTGACTGCGGACTGCAAGTTATACGCTGGATTAATTATTTAGGATA